ACGCTCAGCAGATCCGCAGCGGACGGACGATAACCCGCTCGAGGAGATTACTGAGCCTGCTGAGGGTTTTTACTCTGATGATGAGGCCAGACTCACTCCTCAGTTCAGCTTTGAATTCGGTGTTGTTTTTTAGCATCTGAAATGTAAGTGCTGCTCATAAATGACTAGCATGTGCGCGGATCTCTCGAGCTCATTCTGTTATTGTCTGAGTGTGAAAAACAGGTGGTGCAGGTAACGTGGAGCCGATTGATATCAGATCGCCGTGCACCTGCATGCAGCCCTGGATGGGAATAATCGATTATTCAGAGTAAATATTGACTCCTGGCCGTGGATGTTTTGCGGGCCTGTGCTGAATCGGTGCAGATAAACTCCCTCGCTCCCAGAAGACGGCGGTGCACACTGCACTTAACGTGAAGGCCGAGAGTAAAACACACAATGCATGGGAAGCTTTTCAATAATTAATGGGCTCTCTCGTAAAAAATCCATCTCTGCAGGAGTGGAGTGATAGTGTTGAGATGACGGCTGTGCACAGCAGCACTTTACTCTCGTCTGTTTGAGTGCATGTTTGTTCTCATCAGAGTCCAGATCATAAAAACATCGACTGTATTAAACATCCGTCGTATAATCGCCGTAACTGCACGAGACCCAAACGATGTCAGAAACACTCGCAGCGATGATCCACGTGGCTCCATCAACTCCAGTCTTGTGCCATAAATAATTTTGCAGCTCATTTCTGACCATATTGTATGTTTGTGTTATATGTTTTCACACATATTAATGTAATATCTAGTGTATTTCTGTCAGATGTCCTGTGCTTTATAACCTGTTACAGCAGCGTTTCGCGTGGCTTCAGTGATGTTTGTAGCGTAGCTACATATTTTCAAGTTTGCGAATCTTTTAAATCTAAAATTAAAGAAATGCAATTTTCCCAGATTCCCCTAAATGGTGTCCCAACTACCCAAACACAGTCTGAACCAAGAATTTTGTATTTGCTATCAGGTTTGTGATTTCCCAGCATGCATTGCAGCATGAATAAATGAAGCAGTTAGTGTTATAGGATTATTGTTTTGCTGTTTGCTTTTGTTTCGTTTGTGATTATTGTTAGTTATTTTTTGTGTTGTGATGTAAATGTGTGTGTGTGTCTGTATTATATATTTGTGTGTGTGTGTGTGTGTGTGTCTGTATTATATATGTGTGTGTGTGTGTGTGTGTATTAAATATGTGTGTGTGTGTGTGTGTGTCTGTTATATATTGTGTGTGTGTGTGTCTGTATTATATATGTGTGTGTGTCTGTATTAAATATGTGTGTGTGTGTGTGTGTCTATTATATATGTGTGTGTGTGTGTCTGTAATATTATATATTTGTGTGTGTGTGTGTGTGTCTGTATTATATGTGTGTGTGTGTGTGTGTGTCTGTATTATATATGTGTGTGTGTGTGTGTGTGTGTGTGTGTGATATTATATATTTGTGTGTGTGTGTGTTATTATATATATGTGTGTGTGTGTGTGTGTGTCTGTATTGTATATGTGTGTGTGTGTGTGTGTGTGTGTGTGTGAGTGTGTCTGTATTATATATATATATATATGTGTGTGTGTGTGTGTGTGTGTCTGTATTGTATATATGTGTGTGTTTGTGTGATTGAGTGTGTGAGTGTGTCT